GGTGTATGATGAGTGGTGTTTGATGAGTGGTGTATGATGAGTGGTGTATGATGAGTGGTGTATGATGAGTGGTGTATTGATGAGTGGTGTATTGATGAGTGGTGTATGATGAGTGGTGTATGATGAGTGGTGTATGATGAGTGGTGTATGGTGAGTGGTGTATGATGAGTGGTGTATGATGAGTGATGTATTGATGAGGGGTGTATGATGAGTATTGTATTGATGAGTGGTGTATGAACAGTTCTTGAATGTCCGTAACACGGAAGTTTCGTTCACTAAACTTCCTTTGACAAGTTAAAACAATAACGCCAAAATTTCAATCTATTGTATATCAACAAGAAAGACAACTCCAGCTTTTTGATCCCTCACCTCACCCTGTTGATGTCCATGTGCCTTCAATGCCTGACACTTCCAACCCAAACATGAAAAAAATCAAAGTCACAAGGACGAACGTGTATACACATACCCCGCTTGAATGATCATGAATCTACAATCCTAATGTGCACCTAAAGTATGCTGGTCACATGTCGAGATGTGTCATCATAGCTGCAATCATGAATCCCACTCCGATGCTTTGAAGGCTCGCAAACATGTTTCTACAAAATAGGTCCCTCGGCTTGACCAAAAGCACTGGTCAACTGTGACCGAGCAACTTGTCTTGATTCGCGTATCTATTTTTGTGCCACTTGCGTCATTTTTTTGGGGTTTGATTGTCAGGTACTTTTCTTTGTCGACCCTCTTTGTTGTCAGGTCGTGCTTCATGGCCTGGTGTGGCACTTGGCAGAACCATGGTGGATGGTACGTAGACACACATATTGACTCTAGACTTAGACGGATGCGCTGCATGCATACACGCTTCATGCTTCTGAAACTTCACTGGCAAGGTCGATTTTATATTCCCTTGTTTTTGTTCAGCACTCAGACCATGTTCCTTAATCCTCAACATGGCAAAGTTTGATTGTGCGGCAATTAAGATATGCTGGAGGCGCAGTTGGTGTTTCTCGCAAAGTGCAAGCATAATGTGAATTTGCTCCGGAGAACTGGCATTTCAATTGCGCTCCCTTGTCCGCACAGTGAAGCTTAGCTTTCCGTGATTTGATGGATCCTTTCATCATGATAAAAAGGGATGGCGCCATCTCGTTGACCTCCAAGTAAACTAGGTTGTACGCACAAAACGCATCCCTTAGTATTGGCACATGCCAAGGCACGATGGCGAGGTTGAGCTGCCGAAGAAACACCATCGCCATCAAGCCAAACATATAGGGAACAACCATGTGAAGAAACTGAAGAAGCACCATACTGTGAGCCAGCTCAAAGTTAACGAGATCAAGGAGATCCCCAATTGCAGGGTGGAGTATACTTGCGATGCTCACAGAACACGGTCCTTTGGAGACTATGCGCGGAAACACATTGCCGTCCGTGGCCCAATCATTTGAAGTTTCCCCCTTTGCTCGCTTTGGGTCGATACGTCGATAGGATAGTTCCGAGAGTCCTATGATATGAGGTCTACACTTACAACATTGGCTCTTACGAAGGTGGCATGAGGAATGAGGATGTACCATGTGTCCCGAGCAATGTGGATGCCCCTCGGTGGTGAAGCACGAGGAACTTACAGTATCGTGCTGGCCACTAGTTCCAGGCCGCTATCATGATGAATATGACACTAGCAGCCTGATCATGAATCATGAGTACTCTCATTAAATAGTTTCTTTTTCTTCCTTCTTTGCCAAGGCTTTTTTATTTCTTGATGATGACACAAAGCAGCGCTCGGACTCCAATGCCTTGAACCTGTGGAAGAAGCAGGGCTGGCAAGTCAAGTCCATTTCCTTACAGGCTGGCAGCGAGTTTGTCACCGGCGCACGGCTGACATCGAAATTGCTAAAGTTCACTCCTCCGACGTGGCTTGTGCATCCTGTCTGAAAATTGATCCACAGCGCTCATTGTTTTGTTTTTCCTTTCTCATCAATCACGGGCACAGATGCTTATGGCTTATGCTAGGTGTTCAAGTCTGGCCATAAGCATGTAAAATGTTGTGTGGTTCTGCCAGAAGGAGTATAGTGGTCTTGGGGTCTGTGCCATCTACTCTGAAACCACTGTATATGTATATATATTTAGTGCCGTGGGTATTTTGAGACTCAGACTCAAACGGCGGATGTTTATTTCAGCGTGCACACTGTAAACCGGCCGCTGATTTTTATTGCTGTTCAACGTCACTTGTGGGGTGGGGGGTTGGGGGGGCAATGAAAGCCTTCGTTCTACATTGATCATAAGTGTCATTGCATTGCATGCAAATATGATTGCTGCAGTTTGTTGGCACACTTGACACCCTTCTGTAACACATAGATTAGTGACGGAACCATGGCAGACTCTATGACTTCCAGTCAAGCTGCTCCCTGTTGATGGTGGGCTTTGTAGAAGCTTGACAGTTCAATTCCCGAATCTTGAACTTTCATCGCTGACACGCTTGACAATTCCAGAAACGTTTGTGGAAGTTCTTTGCCAACTGCACTTCCACAGAAGCGTTTGTATTCCTTGCGGCTGAACACTGAACAGCTCCATGAGGGAGTTGCGTCTAGACATTGTTCTCTTTGTTTTGTGTTGTTGGTGAGACTTTCCCGCGAGGAACATCTTTTTCCAGTGACATTCTTAGTACATTCTTAGTGTGCACAAACAGGTTTTAGGACATGAGTGTTTGGACGTTGTTGTGGACCTGGATGGTTTCCCTTGAGTTTGCATGTTCAGAACATTTTCATGAAATGTTGTTTCAGTGGTGCTCCTCAAGGCAGACAAAAACCTGACCCAAACACACTGTCCTCGGGTGGTGAAAAAAAAACGGACGCGCTGCTGTGTTTGGGCGTCTTCTTCGAAGGAGGGGCCGAATTCTAGCCGCTAGCCGCTAGCCTGTATGGATGGTTTCAGATGGTTTATTTCAGATTGTTTTGGAGCTTGATATATACAGTGAAAGAGAGTGTGACGTTTCATGGAAGGAATGGTGAATGGGAATGGCTGGTTGAATTTGACGGCAACGTGGTCTTGGATTTGCACACACTGGGTTCTTTCCTGGACAAATATGTGTCGAAACCGCTGCTATTGCTGGATTGGAGCTATCATGAAGACTGTGGAGATGACGGGTTTCAGTGCTTCAGCAGAGAGCTGAATGATATGCTGCGCACGCGTCGCAAATACATCGAAGATTCCAAGGAGAATATTGAAGCATGGCAATTTGTCTGAAAGATCAGTTGGGGAACCTATTCAAGAAAGCTTATTAGTGCTAGCCACTATGGATGCATGCAGGTAGAAAGTCCATGCTTGACCCAAACTTGTTTTGCCAAGGGAGCGCAAGCTGGCCAAGGAGCATGAAGGGATTTCTGGAACAAGGACGGCAAAGAGCAGGGAAAGAGAGAAGAACGTTTTGATGAGTCATTCTTAATCGCCGCTTTTTGTTTTCATACGATGGACTCAATAGAAGTATAATATAATGTTGGCTAGTTATTCTGTACTTGTTGATCACGTGTTGATAGCGGATGGTGTTACTGGTCCTCAAGTGCCAAAGTCCACGGCCCGGAGCTCTGACGTCCCATTGCTTTCCATTTGCGGCATTTGTGCATCCTCGCACTTTTTTTTTGGCATTTTGCCTGAGGAAGTATACACCTCCCTACTACTATGAGACTCGTATCATTCTCCGAAACCTTGAACACGAGAGGCTCACCTGTTCACAACGGACACTCGTTCGGGAACCCCCCTTGCTGCACGGCAGGTCCAGTGAGGTGACCCAGGCCTTCAGGAAGACCTATGAAAAATGTCATGAGATCCAAAGAGATCCCTGGCGAAGAGACGGCCTGCCGAAACGACCAGACGTTTTGTTGCCTTTGGCAGATGTAAGTTTCATTATTTGTTTTGGGCGCATAGAACAAGTTCTTTGCCCTGCATGACAAGCAGTCTCAGTTGTGTATCCGCATGGATTGACAATTGCTTAGGTGGCAAGTCGGCGTTCGCTTGTTGATGCATGTGGAGTGTGTATGTGTTTATGGGGGGTGTTCAGGTTTCGTGAGTCATGCTGACCCACGCTGAGGACCAGTTTCTAGTGCCATATTTCCTTTGGCAGCTTGTGTGCAGTTCTAGTATGTCCTACTTGTCTTGCCTGTTGCTTTGGTGAGTAGTTAGCCTAGCTAGCTGACTACCAAGGCATGCCAACTTGAGCTTTGACACTGAAGCATTACCAATGAGATACCTGGCTGATTCAGCGCCTTTGGATGCAAGAGGCGCCTGGCTTCTCCTTCGAATGCTGGATGCCAGTGACAATGCATCTCAGGTTGGTATGTGCATGGTGGGAACGCGGGTTGGACGCAACTAAAGCCAGCTTTTGCTCAAAAGATGAAAAAGTGGAACTAAACTGACTTCTGGAGATGGATCTTTGGCGGAATCACTTGATGTTGGAAGATTGAATGTGTGATTTGATATGATCCCGGAGCTCTCAGCGATTTTAGGAGGTAATTCGTAGTTTGAGAGCCATGGCGAGGAAGAACAGTGCAAAGGCAGCCCGGAAGGTCTCTCAGGGAGCTCAAGTCCCATCCCCAGCCGGCTCCGCCGGCTCCGCCGGCTCCGCCGCCGCCGGTGGTGCGGATGTCAACTTGGAGTATACAGTGATGTGTTCCTTCTATGCCGTGGGCAAATGCTTGAGGGGCGAGAATTGCAAGTTTGCACATGATCCTACACAGATTCGCGAGAAGCCAAATCTTACCCGCACAAGCTTATGCCATGACTTCATGCGAAAGCGCAGTTGCAAGAATGGAGACAACTGCAGGTATGCTCATGGCGAGAAGGAGCTTCGCCAGGAGAAGACCCAGCCGGAGCCGTCTTTGATGTGGGATCCCATTGGCTTGTCCTCCATGAGCTTCCCGGAGGGTGCGACTTCAGCCACTAAGTTACTCCCATTGATGGAGAAACTAATGCAGAAGCGGCAGCCGCGACCATCCAAAGTGAACCCTGCCACATTCCATGGCTGGAATCAAAGGGCTTGGAGGAGCCAAACGCTGGAGGCCTTGGCCATGGATCTGAAGCTGAAAGTCTCAGCCTTAGGGCCTTAAGGCCTTGGCGCTTTTGGGCCTTCAATTCCCTGAAGTCAACGAAGCTGTCCTTCTAAGGCACAAATCCCTTGCGTTGAGTCGAATGAGGGCTCATGGAATGATCCGTGGAAGGCAGCAAAGTTTTTGCACAAATGACACGGTGCATCTAGGAGTAATTGTACAAAACCTTTCTCTTTATAAGCAATTGCGATAATCCTTGGTTGAGACCCTTCTTCACGCACCGTTTTCCTGTCATCCAACATTTCCCTTTATTGTAGAGGCCATCCTTCAGAAATAGAGCTTTCCTCCAATGAAGTGCATTTGTAATTCACTGAAGTCTTGTCCTTTTCCTAGTCTTCTTTCTGCATCAACGTTTGTATTTTGGTTTGTTTTCAGACCAACTTGTGAGTTTTTCTGTTTTTATAGTACAGAGTTGCAGTGTTTTAGAGTCCTTTTTTTGTCGCAAGCACACCTGTTCTCTATCTTCAATGTAATTGTCAAACATCAGTGTGACCGCAAGGTTGTGATGCAAAAGAACGGCCATATCAGCTGCACATTTGATTCTGCAATCTGGCCGCAGCAAGTACTGCAATTGCTGGGGCAATGGTGCAGCTAGGACTATTTGCAATGAGCCGTTAGGGGTCCAGAATTGACGTGCATATAGATGGGAGCGACCGATATGTCAATTTGTCTACTTGACCGAGTGCTGGATTTGACATCAGGCTCTTCCGAAGAGCTTGGACCTTCCCGTGCACATCCAGAACAACCTGGACATTGACTTGGACGTGCCTCCCTATGACTTTGTCAGGCCAGGTCAAAGCATCAGGTTTTGCAGGGCACTGCGTAGGGTGCAGTCCAGTTTTGTGTTATTGGGATCCTAAAGAACAGATGCTTGTCACCTGTGTGGATGTCAGGTTCCATTCAATGCCTGCTCGCGTGGCATGAGTGTGAGGCGCTCGGTGAAGAGCCGGACCGCTGTAGCAGGACGGATTGCCAGGAGACTTTTGGAGCGAAATCTCAAGTCTAATGCGTCGATTGGTTGACCAATAAAGGCAAAGAGGTATTGTGGAAGTTATTCTGAAGTAGAGATGTGGCACGCATGTACATAATATATACAAAATATATTATATATTGATATTGTTCCGGCACTGGTAGTTCCTTTTGACATGCTGTGAACAATTCCTTCTGTGAGCAATCCTGTTTAAGCCGGGGTTGGGCGTAGTCCACAGGATCAGTTGCACATGAAGTCAATGGACATTAATTACGGTGGAACGACATTGGGGATCCTTGGAACTATCGTCCCGAGCATGCTTCAGGTCCGGCAACCTGAAGCTTCTTTTAAGCTCAGTTCCTAGAAGTTTAATGGATCTATATCTGGTTATGGGTCGAGCAAGGACGCTACCCACGTAGCGATCTATTTTTTCACCGCAGGCGACGCTGTGCTTTGGTAGACTAGTCCATAGTCCTGCGCAAGGAGTCGCAGGACCAGGGCTGGTATTGGGGATTCCGGAGAATCTGTCAAACTATGTGACTATCTGAGACCCTCGCAGACTGTTGTGGGTTATTTTGGCAGCAAACTGTTGCATCATGCCATGAGGAATTTTTTTAAAAGAAGTGCAGCGAATTTGCCTGTTGGCGTTGAATACTGCAAGTCTGTTTGAAGTGGGACTATGACTGCAAGGAGTTCAATCATGCTCCTACGAAGTGGAAGAAGCCAAGCATAGGAATTTGCTGAACCTTCCTCAGGTCTTGATGAGAAAGTCTTGGTGTTGTGGTGTTTTTGGCACTTTCAAAGAGAGTGAAGGTTCTGGCAGTGCCCACAGTGCATGGATGTCCAATCCTGCAGTGAGCCAAGTTTCAGTGCATCGAATGCGGTTCATGCGGCTCGTCGTGACCACTGCAGACCCAACTTGCGTCATATCGCCCATCGCGTTCGTGACGCAAAAAATGGTGAAGCCGAGTAGCAGGGAGCGGCCTCATGCGAGTGGCCGAAGCAGAGTGCGCTCAGTTACAAGACCTCAGTCTAAAGCACCCAGTTTCAAGACCTGAGTCTGTGATTTCGTGCCCAAGCCACCGACGCTGTACAAAAAGATCCAAGAAGACACGAGCAAGAAGCTGGAAACCCTAGCAACTTGGGAACTTGAGATGATTTTCTATGCTAGGAGACATAGTGAAGAGAGCAGAGCAGCGGTCACTTCTTCCACCAAGCACTCGAGATTCCAACTCTTTGATCGGACGGAACATCCATCACAGTGAGCGCTTCCATGGCCACAGATGGTCCCTTGCCGTCACGGTGTGCTTTTGGTCATGTGGCAAGTACTGTAGACAGGTAGGTAGGTAGGCAGGCAGGCAGGTATGGTTGATACCATATCGACTCTCAGAATGCCTTCGAGTGTCATCTGCGACTTTCTCTTTCCCTTCGGAGATCTAGGCCCAAAATGGTGCTTTCGGGATGCCGGGATGCCGTGATGTGCCGAGATCGAGTTGGTCGGCCAGACACTGCTTTGAGGCTACCCTTCACATGCGAATGCTGAAGAGATGGGGGACGGCCCAGATGCAGCCGAGAAGTCACACTTTTTAGAAGTTTGCTACTTGGTCTGAAATGTCTGATGTTTGTGTATGGTAACTTTGAGGGTCTGACTCGTGCTTAGAGTCACTGTTTGGTTGAACACGCAAGGCTATTCTTTCTTGGAGTATGGCACTGATGCCTTCTATGACCTGGGTCGGATGCAGGAGCTTGCAACACCGCTGTGTGAATTGCCTTTCACGTTTGTTGCAGTACCCGTGGGGCAGAGAGCTCTTCAGGACACTATTCAAAGCTTGGATAAAGACGACCAGGCCATGTGGAAAGTGCCGCCACTTCCCTGGCTCCTTGGCAGAGAAAGTTGCTTGATGCTTCTTGTTGGAATTGACTCATTAGCAGTTCTGTTTGCATGTTCAGGTATTCAGAGATTCAGCGTCGAGTGCAAGTGAATCTCGACTTCCTGAGGCCCGGTTGGGCCCGATTAGTAATTGGGCATCCCCCCTTCCAGGTGCAGAAGCAGGCAACCTTCTGTGTGAAGCTGCTCTTCCCCAAGCATGCAAAGCCTCTTAGGAAAAACACCCGGCGATGATAGCCGTGGCGGCGCCCTTCCTTGTCCAGGTCTGTGTGTCCTCCTTCGCCGCCCCATGGGCCCTTTCTTCTCCGTGTCAATTTGTCTGGTCCTTGTCCAGTTGTCAGCCCTCTTATCATGCCTTGTCCGGGCCTTGTCCCCTGCTTGGCCGCACAGTCTTTGCTTTCTCCATGCTTGTTTGCTTGTGGCTATGAATGCAGGGCGTGCCAACAATTTGTGTTTTTTTGTGTACGTGCTGTGCCCAAACAGCTGGAGACTATAGGAATATAATTGCAGACGTTGTCACCAAAATTGGAATTCAAGCAACTGACGCAACAACAATACATCTGAAACTGTTTTGGGTCTATGCTGGTATGATTGGACGTTTTCAAAGCCAACATGTGCTCCATGACTTGAGACATTTCAGAATTAGGGGCTGAACAGAAACCGCAGGATGATGCCGAACCCAGAAGTTTGTGGAGCAGATCTGGGGGATCAAGCATGGAAGCTGGCAGCTGGCTGAGTTTTTCGTGTGAAATCCTTGATATTTTTGGCACACAAACATGAGGACCAATCAGTTGCCACAAGTAGGCCAGGACATTTGTGGGGTGGAGAAGGTCGGAGGGCAACTGGAGCTCAGGTTACCACCGTCCCGCAAGGGCACCGCGTGGCCAGCAGGAATTCTTCCAAGGTCGGGCGAACAGAACATTCTTTCTTGGAAATTAAAGCAGTTATGTTTGAGGCCAGGAGGCCATCGCTAGTAGGTTGGAGGCCATTGCTACAACAACTCTTGAGAAGTTTTGTACGATCGAGATAGCGTGGTGGCTTCAGGTGCGATCCACATTGCGCCAGTTTGTTCGAGATTGGGCCAAAGAAGGGCAAGCTGAACGAGCAGCCAGCTATACGCCTTTGGTGTCTGCACTACTAAAGTATATGCCACCACCAAAAGGTGGATGCTTGGCAATGCATGGGGTAGGGAGGGCTCACATCGGTTTGCCCTTGTACAACTGAAAGCATGCTGTGGGCAGTGGACGAAGCATTCTATGCATGACTCATGACTCAAAGGATCCCTTGACTTGTGTCAAGACACAACCTTTTGGCATAGACAGTCTTTCTATACAATCTATACACGCTTCAATTTCTGTACAGGTGTTGTTAGTTGTTAGCTTGCTTTCGTGCCAATGAGTTGTGATTGCACCAACAGCTTTGATGCAAACATCTATGTTCAGCGTGTGAAGCTCTGAGTTGAACACTGCCAGGTCGTGTGGAATGTCATCCTTTTGGTGTACGGGCGTACGTCGTGCGTAGAAGGTCAGTTTAGATGTTGACCATTGACACCATGCGACGTGATGCGACAGAGGCAAGGGCCCAGTTCCTGCGATTCTTTGCCCTGGCTGTGGCCTTGCGCGGCTGCCCTTTGACCTGGTGCGTTTGGGCTATGCCGCCCAGGGGAATGAGTCTCTAGGCTTACCCAGCTTGCTTCGTGAATAGGAGGAGGGATTTTGTGAATCACAAGACGCCTGTCAGCCATACGCACAAGGGCACCCCATATGGGGTGGGAGTTCATGTCGACCAAAGACTGGTTGCAAGAAATCCTTGAATGTCTTGGGGGTGTCCATTTTCAATGATGAAGATGCCTCCTAACCACACCCCATATGGGGTGCGAGTTCTTGCAATGATGCGGGCCGTTGAGGGCAGGAGAGAGAGAGAGAGAGAGAGAGAACGAACAGAATGCAGCGGGCAAGCTTTGAGTTGCTTGGGGGTGCCCCTTTTTAATGGTGAAGAGGCCTGCTGACCAGACGCAAAAGGGCACCTCATAGGGACTCCAACCCAGAAGCGATGGCCTCCAGTCTAATAGCAATGGCATCCAACCTAATAGCGATGGCCTCCAACCCAGAAGCCACCTAATAGCAATGGCCTCCAACCCAAGAGCGATGGCCTCCAACCCAGAAGCGATGGCCCCCAGCCTAATAGTAACGGCCTCCAACCTAATAGCGATGGCCTCCAACCCAGGGGAGTTCATGTGCAGGACAGGCATAGCGGGGGAGGATGTGATAGGAAAAGAGGTGGGGAGCTCACCAGGGATCTCGTGCTCACCCCCCATGACCCCCTTCCTTCTCAGGTTTGTTTTATATTCACGTCGCTTCGCGACGGTAACCGCCCGCACCGCACGGGAGGGCTCAAAGACTGCAGTCATGCTCCAGGAACGGGTCAAGGTAGGTACTTCCATTGAACATAGAACGTGGCCGAACATAGCTTCCATATTGCCTAACATAGCGCTAGAATGTGGGAACGTCGCAAATTGGTGTATCTTTTCCGCAGGTAGCTTGAGACGTTCGCCGGATATTGGGCTCAACAGGAGCAGGTGCAGCTATACGACAGGTGTGGCCACATGTGCACCTACCTGAAGCTATCTTGGACTATGTTGGGGGCAAATGGGACGTATCTTTAGTTTATTCCAGTCCATTTCGAGCCCTCGTGGGGCCATGTTTGCGACGTTCAAGTCCCTATTTCGAGAAAACACCATGTTCGACAATATGGAAGCTATGTTCGTTCAAGTCCCTATGACTTCTAGGGCTATTTTAGGCAATATCTTTACTTTATTCCAGCCCCTTTTGAGCCCTCGTTGGGCCATGTTTACGACGTTGAAGTCCCTATCTCGAGGAAGCATGCTTGAGATAGTGACTTCTGGGGCTATGTTCGACCATATGGAAGCTATGCTCGTGAGAAAATGTTACCGTTCCTGGACCTGATCTCTGCTTATCTCTGCTCCTGTGGAGCCAAATATCCGGACATTCAAGTCCCTATCTCGCGGACACGTCCTTTAGATAGTGACTTCTAAAGCTATGTTAGGCAATATGGAAGCTATGTTCGGTCACGTTGGGGGGGTGCTTTATTCCAGTCCTTTTTGAGCCCTCGTTGGGCTATGTTTACGACGTTCAAGTCCCTATCTCGCAGACACGTCCTTTAGATAGTGACTTCTAGGGCTGTGTTAGACAATCTCTTTACTTTACTCCAGTCCCTTTTGAGCCCTCGTTGGGCCATGTTTTGCGTTCAAGTCTCTATCTCGCAGACACGTCCGTTAGATAGTGACTTCTAGGGCTATGTTAGGCAATATGGCAGCTATGTTGAGCCACGTGAAAATGTTACCGTTCCTGGACCTGATCCCTGCTTATCTCTGCTCCTGTGGAGCGAAATATCCGGACATTCAAGTCCCTATCTCGCGGACACGTCCTTTAGAGAGTGACTTCTAAAGCTATGTTAGGCAATATGGAAGCTATGTTCGGTCACGTTGGGGGGGGGGGGCTTTATTCCAGTCCCTTTTGAGCCCTCGTTGGGCTATGTTTACAACGTTCAAGTCCCTATCTCGCAGACACGTCCTTTAGATAGTGACTTCTAGGGCTATGTTAGGCAATCTCTTTACTTTATTCCAGTCCCTTTTGAGCTGTCGCTGGGCCATGTTTTGCGTTCAAGTCCCTATCTCGCAGACACGTCCGTTAGATAGTGAGTTCTAGGGCTATGTTAGGCAATATGGAAGCTATGTTGAGCCACGTTAGGGGAGCCTGTTCAGCCAAATGTCCGGCCTCAGTCCAATTACACTTTACCCCTCAGATGATTCAAATCATGCAAAGGAAGAAAATTGAATTTCTTGCATCACCAGGGGCTTCAAAATAGCACGAATTCATCTTCCAGCACTTCCAAAAACGTGAGAACACACAGGATTCTAGAGCGAAACTGGCCCCCCCTAGCTAAAGCTATTGGCTTGCATATGCTAGCTTACGTATAGCGCGTGCCCTAAAAAACGCCTCGGCACCTTCGGTGCGGGCGGATTTTTTTTTGTTACTTTATTTTTTGTGTGTGTGTTGTCTGAGGTTTTCCTACCACATGCTACTCGGCACCCATCTGATCCTCAATCGCAGCGAGAAAGCGGAGTGCTTCAACATCTTCCCCTTTGTGCGACCTGGGCCCAAACTGTTCGAGTTGGTTGAGCCAGTTGAGCCAGGAAGGTTGGTGTCGGGGTGGCCGGCTGCGATAGGTTGCGACACTGATTTCCTGAAGAGGACAGAGACATCTGAAAGACCACCTGGGACGTAGAAGACACTGCAAATACGTGGTAGGGATGTTGGGGTGCAGGAGTTCTTGCGTTGACAGTGTCCCATCAAGGCTCTCAAGTTCCAAGTGTTTCTGTGTGCATGGCCTTGTCACCCAGGCTCACATTGGCAAACCGGCGGCTTGGTCTATATAACAGAAGAACGTCGAATTTGCCAATTTTCAACCATGGAGTGTGCTTGCACTGCTGATTTTTGAGTGACTTTTGGGGGGTCACACGCTTAGACGGATACATATGTTCTTTTGAACACTTGGAGTTCCTTTCAATTCCCATGGCTCCCTGACCGTCAGACACTGATGGGGAACCTCTTCCTTTGGCCAGTGAGCAGCTATGGAAAATAGAAAGGATGATACACGAATCTGATACAAAGTTCCTATCCAACAACACACAAACAACTGTGACCCACGAGACGAGCTTCACGAGTTGTCACAGACACATGGGCAGGAGAAGCAGGCAGAGGCATGATGGTTGAGTGCTAATTATTTCGATCTTTTCTGTGGATTTTTTTCAACGTTTTGAAGCTTGGTGCTCAGGAAGGGAAGATGGGATCACCTCAGATGCGTGAAAGTGCCAGATGTTTGCCCTGTGGAAGCTTTGGGCCCTGCAGCACAGCTGTCAATGGCAGCAGGCGAATCTCGGATGGAACATTGACTATTGACCATTGTGAACCTGAGAAGGGGTCAGTAGTTGTATCTCTTTGTATTTTCAGATGTGATAGATAGACTGATAGACTATGTAGAGTTGTTTTTTAATTGTTTTTGCTGCCAAGGAGTTTGTAGAGGTCTACAAGACTCAAGCACTTGGGCGGCATCAAACGCACCGAAAGTCCAGAGAGTGTAGGATCATAGCAGCACTAGACTGGCTGTAGTGCAACCGAACATACAGAAACCTAAGGAGTCGGCATGGGATGGCATGGCCACATGCTTCTTCCTTGATACAGCGAAGAATGTGCGGCCCATCTGAATGGCTCATGACCACATGCACCACATGTGCTTCTCATGACCTGTGCAGGTCGCCGCAACACTAGTAGCGTCCTTGCTCCTAGTAGCGATGCCCTTTGCTACTAGTAGCGTCCTTGTTCCTAGTAGTAAGGCCAGGAGCCCCTAGTAGCGTCCTTGCTCCTAAGGTTCCTGTACATTCGGACAATAGCTTACATCATTCGGAAAGGTGGCATATGGACGAACCTGGGTCCTCTCCTCTACCACTATGCCGACGTACCTTGGACGGAGATGACGCACCTTGTTCTAGGACCGTTGGAAGCTGTTAACCGTTGGAAACCTGATATGCCAGCTGAAAAGCAACATATTTGGGGTGCAACTGAGGTGCCGCACGAAATCTCCATTGAGCTTAGCTGGGAAGAAGTGCGACCATACATTTGCCAGTATTTCGATTTCGTTGAGGACCGTTTCAGTATTGAAGACCTAGATTTTCTGACCGAAGGTTTTGTATCATTGGTTTGCCATTCCTGCCGATGGTTAGACCACTGATCAAGGAGGAGGAGAAAGTGGCAAGATATACCGGCAATGCGGAAGGTTTGAGTATCAACCGCTATCGGTGTATCTTCTTCGTGGCGACACTCAATTGCAGTTAGAAAGTGAGATGTAGAAGCGACGGACCATGAGGACGAAAGTGACGAGCTGATTCTTGGGGGTCTTTCAATGTTGTGTCATTTCTGTTGGCTTAGCAACTTAACGTGACCAAACATGTTCAAAAGACATTCTTCCGGTTTGAAGCTGCCACTCGTAGACCTCTCTGAGGAGACGCAACGGCAAGCCTGCAGAGGGCCATTCGAATCCGGTCTTCTAAAACTGCAAACAGAGCTGTTTGCCTTCGCCGCAAAGCACGGTGTCAGGACGAGGAACGAACAAAAAGTTCTGTTCGCTCACGCGAAGTGCCGGATGTGAGCAAACAAAGAGGGATGGCTTTTCAATGGCACTGATGACTAGATCTCCCAGTCGCCCTGGAGGAAAAGATTACTTTGCGTCAGGGCACTGGGAGCTACACAATACACAGACAGGCAACAGAATGGCTATTTAGATAGGTAGACATTGCATCACATGGACAAGCACAATCAAAGACACACAGTCATGAGATGAGCTTGACCTGCAACTTCCTGCAAATGTTTGTGTGTGTGAAATGACTCTTCTAGGTGACTGCTTTCCATTTATGGAAGCCTCAATAGTGCCAACTTTGATAAGAAACAACATTGCTTTCGCGTGCTTGCATTTGAACCAAGGTACCACAAGAGGTTTGTTCCATGTCGGTGTGGCCGCTGTTTTCTTCTAGGGTTTACGGTCCATCAACCAAGACAAAGTCCCCGTGGCAGCAGTGAGACTGCTGACAGCAAGGGGCCTCAGGAATATATTTTTCTTTTTGGCCTTGATTGCTACCATGCTCTAAACTGTCCTTGACTCCAGGCCACTAGGGCGCGGCATGGCTTGGCGCACTTTGTTTGGGCTGTCCAATCCTGAATCCACAAGCTTTTATGTTGGTCAACGTCGATGTGATATGATCTAATTGAAAGAGGGAAAAGAATGCCTTCCTTGCAACCTTGATCACTGTCTTTGTGCGAAGAATGAGAGAGCTTTTTAAAGGTTGGCCCTAGCAGAATGCTACCTCCTCAGATGTGACAGTCCCTATGCAGACTCATTTATGGGTTGCTTTCCTAGGCCATGGAGACTTTATGAATCTGCGTCATGAAGAACCTAGGTGCGACAGCTACCGGTAAGAGTGTCAACTAGCCTAAGTGGCCATTTTTCCAGTTTCCATCACTCCCAAACTTCCGGCTGTGTCAGGCTTGCAAATTTAGCACAATACCATCTCCAGCTTCAGGAGCTGCGGTCGAACGTAGGGGCGAAAGAACGTGAAGATGTGAGTTGGCCAGGACCATTTCGATCCGAGCAACAACAAGACTTGGCATCAGGCAAAGATTGGACCGACCATTGTGTAGTTTGAACCGACCATCCAACCTCCATTTTTGGCTTTGCCTGAAAGCTGGCGAGGAAAACAACCAAGCTGTACAACGGCGGTAGATTTGATTGTTACTTCTTAGTTAGATGCTAGCTTGTACTTTTCACGTGATAACACACACACATGGAAAGAATGGAGGTTTGTGGGTCCGTGGGTACGCTCCTGACTTTCCACGTAGAACCTGTTGCCCCTGCAGCCCTTTGCTTGAGTCATCGGTGGTAAGAAGTTCAACACTTTGTGTGACACTGTGACGCCGGGGTGTCAGGGTGACGCCCGAAGCTGTGGGCCCTGCTGTTTGTTCAGGGTGACGCGTGCCTGCAAGGCTTACTATGTGAACGACACGTTTTGGAAGCCTCAGAGCTCTGCGCCAATCTTCCTCTGTGTGGGCGGAGAAGGCCTTCTTTTTTGATACGGCAGGATCGCCGAGCTCAGAGATTGGGTGGATAAAGGCGTTTTCATTTTTTTCCAGATTTTTGCCGGTTGATGAGCCGAACAAAAAACGACAGGATACCAGGATACCCATTCCTTTCCTGTTGTTGGACCACTTGGAGGTCCTGCCTTGGATGCCTCTGCCGTGCAAAACTCGGTGCACTGCAACATTGCAGTGGAGTGGCTCAAAGAGACCAAGGCGACCAGAAATTTGTAACCGTCGTATGTTCATGTCTGTTCATTGATTTTAAGTGAGGACAGATGTGCTGAGACTTTTGTTGGAACATGGGCATCATTTACATAACTATAATTCGGCTAGTCCTTGGTGTTTCCTCAAGCTTGTTATCAGCATCAAATAGCCCAGTACTCAAGCACAATGATGAAAGTCAACTATTGCGAGTTATGAGCAATCCTCCTGTGAGCCTTTTGTGAACACATATATGGCAGGGGGCATAGAGCTTCCCGATCAAATGCAAGTGCTTAAAGACTACCTACACGTTGCTTACAGTCGTGCAATACTCATTAACATTAGGACATTTGCCGATTCAGAAACCCGCCGATCAGGTCGACCATTAACATCCATTAACATTACGCTGTCCAAATGGTTATTCTCAGAACAAACTAAATGTCCAAATAAGATTTTGACAAAAAATGCCACATGTATTTCTTTCGTTGGCTGACAATGGCAAGGATTAGTTTGCATTTGTTCACTTCATAAATTTACATTTGTGGTCGATTCATTTGTCAGTTTTCTTCGGCAGTGTCATTTTCGCGCGTGGTATAGTCCGGTGTCAACCGGCGTGTTGCGATGGTATCTCTGCAGTGCTATGTTGGTCTGGAGAGGTTGCCATTTTGGTCATTCAAGGTTGAATGCCGTTTGATGAACAGCCAACAAACGACTCAGCATCTCCACCAGGCATTGATGTTTGCATTGGAGCATCGCTACTACGGCTGTCAAGCCCTTTGTGAGTCTAGTTGCACTGGACAAAATTGATGTATCGTTTTTTTGAATTATAATTTCTTGAGTTTTCTTCATTGCAAGTCGCTGTAGACTCAGGCCACAACAGTTCCGCATGTCCAGTGCAGGATTTGACCAGCGCCGTCCTTTAGATTCTGCTGTGTGACACTTTGGGTTGTAGACGGATTGGAAGGGCTGACTCAGTCTTCACTACTTCACTACCACCCGATACTTTGGTCCATCTGTATCTATATAAGTCTAGCGCAAGGCTGAATTGATTTAACGTTGCTCCACATGTCTTTCAGGCCAAGTCATATCAAAATGAACAATCTCTTGACTCCCGTCCCTTCGCCCCAATCTCTTGACTCAAAGTTCAGGAGGCTCAAGCCACGCCCCTTCAACGAGTGCAGTGCGGGCAGATTCGGAAGAAAGACTCATGAATCCCTGGTGTTGCGAGAAGAGTCTCACCATCCTTCTGCTGAGACGGCCCAAGAAGCTACTAGTAACAAGTGCATCACTACTAGTAACAAGGGCATTACTACTAGGAACAAGAAGCTACTAGTAGCAAGGCACCTTACTACCAGTCACATCAAGCTACTAGTAGCGATGCCCTTGTTACTAGTAGCTTCCAGCTGGTGTTGCTGAGAAGGCCCAAGCTTGTGATCCTGACTTCATACGGAAGTATTGGTTGGAATAGCTGAGGTCCAGATTCCCTGAGGTTTCTGTCTTCTCGACAGGTGCACCATGAAATCCGGTTTTTCGGATGCAGAAGGGTTTAGAGAGGTGTCAGAGAGTCAATTCTTTACTACTGTCAGATGATTATGCTGCTCACCTTTCCAGCTGAAAACGCGAAGAAACTGTCATTGCCAAACATGTTTGTTTAACATTTGACATTGATTGTGCTGAACAAATCATACTTAGTTTTTCACCATCACATAGGCGGTGGAGGACATTGCGAGTTTCGTCAAGGCAATGAATGCGAAGCATTCCTTGAAGAGGATGGGCAGCTTTCACGGATCGTACAGTCAATTGGATGTGATTGGATGAAGGTTTCCCATAGTCTAGACAAGTGGAGGCAATATCTCGTCAGATTATGTTTGTTTGTTTGTTTGTTTGTTTGTTTGTTCTCGCTCTCGTTCTCGTTTACTTTGCGTTTGATTTGCTTAGTTAGGTGCGGTCACCGTGTTTTGGCAGGAACCCTTGGATTACTTGGGGTGGCAGCTATCCTGGGATGCTTGCAGGGTGGCAGGGCCCTCGGTGGCCGCAGGGAAGCCTGCGCAGATACTGCAGCAAAGACCCGTTGTAAAAGGTGGAAGCTGAACTGTAGTTCATCTTCTACTTTCGATCATCATAGCAGGTAGCAGAACCCAAGAAGCATGAGACCAGATGGTGAGAATGATTATACATTATTGTATTTGGTGACAAACCAGCCTTTCAGTGCTCAACTCCCGCGGTGAACTTGACCGAACTTTTTTTCGCCTCCGACCGAAGGATTCGTTGCAGTGGAAGTTCTCATTGTTTTTGCTTCGGCTACGATTGTTTTTCTTTGTTGTCCGTCCACAAAGATGCTATATACAGAATATAATATAATATAATATAATATATATATAGTGTGATGTAATGTAATGTAATACAATACAATACACTATAATTAATATAACATAAATATATAGTACAATATAATATGTGTTGTTTTCGTTTGGCGTTGGTTGCTTCGAGTTCCATGAGGTCCCGTCTGAAGCACCCAGAGCTGATCCATGCCTCGGTGGCCTCCTCGGCGCCGGTCTTTGCCACCTTCGACATGTTGCTTGGCGGATCTTTGGTGGAGCTGCATTTACCCCCTACCGCTACTAGGGGGCTCCTGGCCTTACTGCTAGGAGCAAGGACGCTACTAGGGGGGCTCCTGGCCTTACTACTAGGAGCAAGGACGCTACTAGGGGGC